CCCCCCCCCCCCCCCCCACTCTCAAAGGCCGTTACCGGTTTCTGCTGGTTAGGTTCTACTTAATAGATTAGAGCGCAAACAAAAAATTTCTTCAAATGTATTTCGAACTCGCATATTGCTATTTCTTTCTTATTCACTTGGAATTGAAACGATAAAGACGTTCATTACACTCCCGTAATTCCCTGGAAAACCAAACCCGATTCCGGACCAAAATGGGCAAAGTGTATACAAGTTTTCAGACGAAAAAGGCCCCAAAACCCTACCCTTTGGGGCGGCACATACCTATATGGCTTCTATAAGGGAGTAACTCCCCCCCCACCTTTCATTTCTCAAATTAGGAATGAGCAGAAACTGATTAGTACAAATTCTTAAGGATTAAAACTTACCAGGAGCCGATTACTTGATTAAACAGACATGAAATCCTCTATATCTTGTTTTTGAGCGCCGCACGTCAATCGGAAATGATGTATTTGTATTGCTGTCTATCCTATACCGTCGAAAAGAGACGATTTGCCGTCAAAAACACCTGCCAACGAATACAAAAGGACCACTTCTGATTGACGTACATCGCTCAAAAATACCTTTACATTAAGGGCAGTACTGTGATACAGGAAATGGTAAGTTAAGGGAAAACTTCGTCACATGGTACAAACTGACGCTTATCTTTAGCCGTAAAAGTGATACTAGATCTGTCTCTCACTGGATCTGATTCTCGGTTCTTTTATATTTGCGGGCCTGAGGCCCGTGTCTCGAAAGTCCCGATAACTTTTTGGGCCCTAAAGGCAAAATTTGAAATCAAAGCCTGTTGAATAGTAGCACAGTTCCTAGCCCACAAACCAGTCAATTTTGCTTCATTAACTGATAGTTTCAGTGTATCATTTTCAAAATTATTGAAACTTTGATCTTGAATGAAAACACGGCAAACATTAAACAGCTTTTCGGGCCCGAAAAGTTATCGGGACTTTCAAGAAATGGGTCTCCTGGGCATCAGTTGAAAAACTTGAAAAAATAAGTTTTTTAAAAAGACGGCATTTCTCCTCCCTGGAATCAAGTTGATCGTTTGAGAAAACACAAAATGATTAAATTGAGAAGACTCGACGGTTTCGTATATCTCTCCTTTAGTATTTCCGTCACACTCAAATGCACACGAAAATCTTCGCCGTCATGACAACGGACTAAATGTTTACAAATTGCAGCAAGTTCACACTCGCGGCAGCTGCTCTTTTCACGTTATCGTAGTTTTTACACCATTTCTTTAATTTTTCCTCTAATCATCGCTGTAGCATGTTAGTTAAAGAAATCATGTCCCCTCAGGTTAATCAGTCACGTAATTAGAGCTCAATATCGTGAATTCTATTACATTCGTCGAACATTCAACAAGTGGTATTAAGCCGGCGAAAGAAAGAAATCGGAAAGCCAGAAATCATGCTGGAGAAAAGTGCCAGTGCTTCAGAGTTGAGCCTCAGACAAAGCGACGAATTGCCGTTTAGTTTCCGCTCTCAAAGGGATTTTAATGCCGCACAAGATCTGCTTCGATCTCGAAGTGAATGTTTTTTGCAATCGAAGCGCGCGCGTGACAAACTCCTTCGCGAGGAGGAAATAAAGAATAGAACTCCATGGGATATGAGACCTCCTGACTTCACACTACAACTCTATCAGCCAAAGCCACCGAAAAGAAACAGTAGATATGCCATGATTCCCGGTTACAACGAGGACGAATGGAACAAAAAAGCCAGAGAGAAGAGGAGGCAGCGAGTACAGTTCGAACCTATCCCGCTACCAAAAATTCTACAACCACCAGTATCGGATAAACCACCTTTTAGTACGCAGTTCCGTATTCCTGATTCTCATCAAGCTAAAATAATGTATGTGAGGAATGGGATTCACAGGAGGGAGCCTTATACTGCACCAGGACCACATGCCTTCAGAGGAGATGATTTCAGGCCGGTAAGTACTTCGGGTGGCGGAAATTAATACATCTGTCTGCGTGAACTCATTTGCTGGTGGTTTTTGTGGTTCATTTACAGTTGTATGTTGTTTGTTTTTGTGTATGTTTTTGAAAGATAATGAGTTGAAAACAAAGGAGACAAAAACTGAACCATGGTAGTGACACAAGGCGAATTTATACAGAAACGAAGGTGGTCGATAAAACACTCCAGACCTTGGCCCATTTCAAGGACTCCCCCATCGCCTACCCCAAAATGGACTACGCCGCTGAGGTTTAATGATTAGGGTTAGGAGACTGGGTGAATAAGGTTCCATTTAGGGTCATTTTAATGGGAAAACTGACCTCAAACTAAATGATTCAGTCAGTTTCCTAACCCTGACCACTAGTCCAATGTACGTAGTGGACGTGGTACATAGAGGTAGTCTATGGACTGGGGGGTCACTGTTTTGTCCACTAAAAAGGAATTACCCATCTGAGCGCTTGTTTATATGAGGAGACAGCCGAGCTGGCTCACTTCATGCCTTATTTCCTCTTAAAATTGTCGTTGTGTTTATATGACAAGGCAGGCTAGCTTGCTTGCCGAGATCTCAGCTCAAGCAACCGGGGGAAAAATCAACCGGAGAATTTGTCTCTGGTATAAATTCTGCCACTGTGTGGCGACTCTGCACAGAGCTCCAAATCAGCTAAGTGCCCTGCACAGGGTGGGCTAGTGCTAACCTTGGACAGGCCATATTAAGGGACTGCCACATTTGTTCAGCAGGTTTCATTAGCCTGCTAATTAGCAGGTGCAGATTAGTTTTTTTGTTCCTTTCTCCCCTTGTGGGACCGAGTGCATCCTCAATATTTAAAGAAGAGAAAGAGAGAGAGAAAAAAAGAAAGAAAACCACCAGTGTGCGAACAAAAGTCAGATATTATCTCAGAATTAATGTCTTTATGTTACCTAGAAGCCCAATATTACTATAAAGTTATTTTTTTCATTATATACTTCTGTCAATATCGATGTAGCTGGAAAATCCAAAAAAGTATGGCCTGCCAGAGTTCACCACTGACTATGAACATGACCCTGGGAATCTCAAGTTCCACTCCAGAAACTTGAATGTATTGTATGATCGTAAGTAAAACTGTTGCAGTGATTTCTTTTTCCTTTTCCTTTTTGTGGTTATTAAAATATCCTATCACATTACTGCCACATTTTCAAAAATTGTGTAATAATGTTGATTGTTTTTCTTAAATTTTAAATATTTCAACAAAAATTAATTTCATTATTTTTTTTTTATCATCTAGCCTACAAAGATCAAGACTTCTTGAATTCCAAAGATGGCTACAGAAAACAGATGGTAACTTATAAAGAGAGGGATCCAGAATGGGAATCGTCACTGATCTTGACAAAAGGGGTAGGTACACTGGCCACAAGCTGACTGCAGATTGACTTTGATTGATACCACATTGTTAACTGTTTTTAAAGAGGTTCTGAAAGGCTGACCATTTTTAACAAACTCCCTAAGGGAGGGTTGGAGTGGGGTCTTGGCCCTTAAAAATAGCTGTGCAAGACTTTCCATTGCAGGGTAATGGCTAGATACCGCTATTTTCTGGAACCACCCAATAATGGTACCTTGTTATCTACTGGTTCTTGCATAAAACCTTTAATATTAAAGGGATCAAACTTCCAAGCTATAGAATGTCTCTTTCCTTGTGTATGCCATAAACTTCAGACGATTAGGAGAACACTCAACATCTTGAACCATCATATACTCATCATCACCATCACCTTCATCATCATCATTATCATCATCGTTATCACCTGTCCAGTAACCTTGACTTCGATACCACATGCAGTAAGTTACATCTCTACTGGGATGAATACTTCTAAATATTTTTGTATTAAAGTATGAACCCTGATGTTCACATCACATTAAATCATTTTTATAACCAGCCATACAAAAGAGGACGTTCACCAAAGAGCGCTCTGATGGACAGGATAGCTCAACAGCTACCATGGTGTTCAGATCGCGACAAGTTAGAGGAACTAAGAAGACCAGATATCTTTGACTACAAAACAGTGGATTGGTTAGATGTGACAGCCCACAGAAAAGAACTCAACAGGATATGACAGATGGGATCACATCTGCATACTACTTCTAAAGGAAGGAGAAGGAAAAACTTTGAAGATTCAGCCCTTATTAGCAAATCAGGGTTGCTGATCACTGAGTATGAAATTGCTGCCTATGGAAAGTAGGGGAACGGCCCCTCCCTCCCAACAATAAAAACCCCTAACCACAAGTGAAGGGTGACAAGGAAAGGCTAGCTGACTGAAATAGAGTAAAAATTCACGTTATTTATGATGCTATACTGTCCAAACTGGGTTAACAATGGGCAATCTGACATGTTCAAAAGTAGTAGCCTATTTGAGAAGTTCAGTTTGCTCACCCTGAAAGGGCAGCGATGTAAGTCTCAACATCGGTAAGTTTAACTGACATGAATAGCATCTTAAACAACATTTTCACTTCATTTTATTGATCTTTGCAAAATGCTATGCAGTTTTTATTAGATATTATTGACAAGGAAGGCCTCATCTAAAAGGGTGTGTGAAAACAACTTAGCTCCAAGTAACTTTTGATGAATGTCTAAATTCTTCCCCCAATTTATTTTGTGTAATAATGTTAAACACGGGGAGAACCTGACATGAGATCAAAAGTCAATTTAGGGCTTCATGCACTCTTTTGCTTGCTGACTCTAAGGACTTTGGACAATATGCATGCCTGCTAACCCACATGACTACACAAAGAGTCACATTTAATACTGGTAGTTCTTTTCTACATAACTACATGTGTTACTCTGCTAGCAGATGTGATTTTGCTGTACATGCAGTGTTTTTTAGACCTGTCTTACATGTACTTACTCAGGTGACGGCTTCTGCACCAGCTGAGCAAAACAATTCATTGAGTACAATATCTCCATAAACAATGTTAGGTATATTTAAATAATTTAAAGGTTATTTATTGATCTAGGTACCATTGAACAGCACTGAGATGCCTTTTTTAATAAAATTCTTGAAATCTTTTAATATTGTCTATACTGGTAAATGCCTTTAAAGACATGCATGTACATGACTGTGATTCTTACATTTGAGTTTGTACATGTGCACATTTGTCAAAGGTCTGTGGGGTGACCATTCAAATAAAAGCTAGACTTCTCTCAATACCTTTTTCCCCTCATTTTTGCTTTCTTTCCTAGTAGACAAACTCTCACTTTATTACCTCTTAACAATACGTGGCTGATTAACAAGCCAGGAAAACATTTTCCCACATTCAAAGTCCTACAAATTTCTCCTCATCGGTGCTGTTCTGGAACCATATCAGGCTGGAGTTGTTTCATCTTTTGCCAGTATTTTCTAACTTCAACACCTTCCCATGAAAGATTGCCACTTGTTCTGAAAAAACTGCAAAGGAAAGTGTTTATAAAACAAAAGGTTGTGGGAAAATGCTGGAAAAGTCACTCCGAAGGAATGGTTCTTTTTTTCCCTTTGTAAAAAAATAGGCAAATCTTTCAAATTGGTGAACTGTGTGAATGGGTGGAGGATAGATGGACTCCTGGTAAATATTCTATTTTTTAAGTCTTTGCTAGACTTCCTGCCCACCTACATACATACCCTAACCCAATGTTTACACTAACTTCATAGGGCAAAATGTTGGGTTTATCCGGGAGGCGTATGTGCCACTAAGGTGTTACCCAAAATCTTATTACCCTAACATTTAAATTTTCGCCTCTGTCACTCACTCTAACGGACCTCTCAGGAAACATGGGCTTTCTTGGTGGGTTCAAAAGGTCATGTCTGTAGGTTGTGATTGGTTGATTTCAATCCATGTTGTTTCTTTCATTTTGTGGAAATTATGATTGACAACTAACTTTCTTGGAATGTAATATTGTTATTTTCCTGTCATCTGATTGGTCAACTTTGTCTAGGTGGCCCCAGTTTTAGTACCTAGTCTCACTGTAAATACTGATCCCCAAATATTATAAAGCTTGTCAAAAGTCACATACAAGTCCATAATGTACTCCAAAAGGGTTCTTTCTGGATCTGTTAACTTCTGGCTAACTGCATCAATGTTCTTTTGAAGGTTTCCAATGCTTGCAGTACTAACAAGGGTGGTGGGAATATTGTTTACGTCCAAGGTAAAATAAAGGGCAAGTTTGGAGATATCAACATTTTCAGCCTGAAAGACATTATTAATAAATTCATTATTATATAAAATTGAGGACTGGCCAGGAGTTGGCATGTAGACAACAACAATCCTTTGTATTTGCCGCCATCTTGTTAATTTTATTCTACATTCTTACAAATCATTCTACATAACTCTTGTTAATTTGGTCGCGCGATGAGGCAGACATTTTTGGAGGGAAAACTCTGTTTTGAAGACAAAAAAAGATTTTTTAAGATTTTTCACAAGTTTAAATTTAAGATAGCACTACATGTTTTACACATTATTTAAGGATTAAAGGCAACAAAAAAATACGTGAACTTTAAGAAGTTCCCTGGAAGCCTTTTCCTGGCGAAAACATCCGATACACTTCAAGATTCTCCTTCCAGATTGTTTTATATTTGCTTGTGAAACAAAAGGACAATTTGACATTCAATTGAGAGTCACTTATAAATTAAAGTCATTAGATGAAGAGTCTTGTTATATATTAGGTGTGATAGAAATAAACTTATTATAAAAGAGCTACAAAAAAAAGGTTTGTCTGCTTGTCCATTATGAACTAAGTAGATTTTCTTGCTGGGCAAGTAACTTTTAAAGCATAATTACCCAATGGGCGAGGATGCAGAAAAAACATCCGGTAATAAAATAGCTAACTTTAGAAGATGAGGACAAAGTGGCCCCAGTCAAGCGAAATGTCAGAGCTACTTGCCCAAAGAACAAGCTGGAATTTAAGTTTTTATTTTAACCCTGATTTTAGATTGACAACTAGATCTCAAAAATCTTTGTTATTATCTTAGTATCACAAACCTGACAAAACTCTGCAGCTTCCTTGCATTTACTGCGAAGAGTTTCACTGGCTGGATGCCAAGCAGGTGGACCACGACTTGAAAGCAATCCCATGGATATTGGAGAGGCATTCACAACCCCTACTCCGCGCTCCTAAGCCACAAAAGAATAGCACTCAACAATGTAAACTGCCAACATATTTTTTCAATAATTATGTCAACATATTGACAAACCCAAAGATGCATTTGCAACTTGAAAAAAAAAAAACCTACTAAAACATCTGTTGTTACAAAATAACAGTACTGTATAAGTACAATGAAATTATTTTGGTATAATAAATGTTTAGCCTGTGAGAAAGCTCTCTGGGGTGCTTTTCCTTCCATCTTAATGTTACTTGTACAACAGTAAAAGAATTATTGAAGGAATTTCTGTGAAAGTGCTTATTAACAGAAGTTACATCAAAACTTCACTATTTGCAATTGCTTTTAATACTGCTTAAACAAATAGCAAGTTACATGTACAGGGGATAAACACAATTTTCTACTGTACAGCATACACAAAGTGTATTTGTCAATGACACTACTGTTTCAATAATTAGTTTCACGACTTCCCCTAGTTAAGGGACTCTTATGACTGGTAACTTCTAATATGCCACCAAAATACCTGTGATGTAGCTGCTGGTACTGCCTGCAATACTACTCCAACATACTAGGGCATAACACTGCCGGCAACAAGAGACATCGCAGGTCTTTACCACCAGCATGCCTGCGAAGTCAAACTCAAGTCAACTTCACAGGTATGCTGGCGGTAGAGACTCACTTGGCATTTGTTGCCAGCCACTTCTCTTCTCATATCGGAACAGTAGCAGGTAGCTCGGCAGGTAGCTCAGCAGCATATGGGAACCAGGCTTTAAAACACATGGTTATTTAATTATTTATTTATTCTTACTTCAAAAAACTGCATGTAATCCAGCAATCCTGTGTCATGCATTGTGCAGCGACAATACGTTAACACGGTGTCAATACGAATTGTACTTTTCTCCAGAACTGTTCTGTAAAATTTTAAAAAAAAACATCCGTATCATTGATGCCTTGATTACCTATAATTAATCACCTACAAGTATTATTAAAAGTTATTTAGCCCCTCCTTTTCTCCCACCTTTTCCTGTAACAAAAAAATAAAAGTCCCAAAATAATGATCAGGAAAATATTTTAATCAATTTCCGTGTCAGAAAATCACTGCCTGAAAATCACTGCCTCCAATCCAAAACAAAAAATAACCTAAACACTACTATAGCTCTTTCTTTAACCTCTGTTTGTCTTTTCTAATACTTTTAAAATACTGATTCCCTAAGACCTTCAGTCACTTTTTATTAAGCTCTTGCCCCAGTTAAACATTCTTGGGGCTTTAAAAGTAAGATGTATCAATAGTAATGAAGTAAAATAGACGTCTTATTTTTCCTACTTATAAATGGCCCCAATGTGACTTTGGGACTGATAAGTAAATTTTTGGGTGTATTACAAAGACTGCCAAACATGCAAAGTTTTCATGTCAGGCAATTATTCAACAACTACATTATAAATAAGCATCAGGAAAAAAAATACAACCTCAGGGTCCTCTCCAACCCGTCCCTGAACGAGGTTGAAAAAATACATTAATTTTAGATAAAATCAACATCTCAGGAGCTTATGTTTTTGGAATAAAGACAGAAACTGGCCAGGGTAAGAAACAAGACATCAGTTCAGTATCAAAACTGCACCTGTCCACCACTTGACAGCTTTACGGCAATGTATGCTACAAATCCGAATTATGAACTACAAGAAGGTAAGCTTCAAACCCAGCCGACTTTCCAAGGAGTACAATGCTGCATACATCTTAGGAAAAACCACAAAGTTTTCCCTCAAAAAAAGGTGAATGATCATGTTCAATAATAAAGATAGGTACTTACCGAAAGTTTTCCAAAGGGTAACCTGTGATTCCAATAAATTTTACTTTGCCACTGTCCTTTAACTAGAGAAATCAATATCAATATAGTATTTCTGGTAACCATAATTTATCTTAGGTTCTTTTTCATGTGACGGTGATTTAGTTTGCCACAGTGCATATGCTATAAGCCTTAACCACTATCCTACAATGACCAACGATAAAAAAGATTAATTTTTCATTATTAAAACTGCTTGATCAAGAAAGAAGTTTGCCCGAATAATGGCAATAATCAAAATGTTACAAAAATTAATAATTTTTAAACAAAGTCTCTTCATCAGCATGATAGGATTCCTTTTGCATGGAGGTGGGCGATGACAGTGCATTTAAGATAAAATTATTGCCACTTCAAGAACAAAGGTTATAATTATGTACCTTCTGCAGGGCAGGTAAAGTTTCATTGATGACGATATCCAATGAAGGTGCAAACTCCATGTCATGAACCTAAATCACAAAGATTAAATAAGGCTATTTAACGATTATTCCTCAAGCCCAAATGGGCTCTAAGTCAATAGCCCATGAGGCCGAAGGCCGAATGGGCTATTGATTCAGAGGCCATGAAGGCGAGGGGAATGATTGTTTTAGTAAAATCCAACTAGTTGGTCAAAAATATCGAGACAAAACAACTTTAGCTAGCAAAACGTGATTTAACCACCATTATTTTTGGTTTTAAAAACCAGCGCTTTTTACAACTAGTGGGCTTTAACCTATAGCCTAGTAATCAACAAATCAGAATGCACCATTGCTGAAAGACCACTAGTTGGATTTTACTAATATGTAATATTACTGTGTTATTTACTGTCCTTGCTTAGGATATCATAGGGCAATTTCCTCACAGCTCATGTCCAGTGTAACAGCAGCTGATATCACCATCTCCACATACGTCGATAATGTCTGAAAGTTTCGTGTTTTTTTCTGATTCTAATATTTCCCTTTAGTTGGATCTTGGATTTCTTTTGTTTTCTCTGGGCACCCTAGTCCTCCCACAAGTAGTTTGTATGTAGGTTTCATAGTTGTTATGGTTCTCCAGTTTATAATCACTTGCAATGTATTTTGTAATTCCCCTGGTTTTCAAAGTTCTGATCGTTTCTTTCATGGTCATTTTTGTGTGTGGTTCCTCTTGTCCTTAAATATCATTCTCCCTTGTTCTTTTGGTTCTTCAACTTTACTTGCATGTGATTCAAAGTTGCAGCCAATAAAAATTGCACAATTTTTCAGGATGGGCAGAGGATATGGGAAAGTTAAAAAAACAAGGCAATTTCTAACTCCCATGAAAAATACAGTCAACTGAAATTATTACGCTGGCTGGCTACGTCATCCTTCATAAAAGGCTTTTTTAAAATTACCTGAATGACATCAATGTAATCAAGTCCAAGACGCCTTAAGCTTTCATCCACACTTTGCAAAGTTCTTTCAGCTGAAAAATCAAACATCTTTTGAACTTCAGGTTCATATCGGCAAACCTACAAGATGAAAATAATGTAGTAATCCTTAAATGTATGGATGAAGATGATTTATTTCCCATTTTTTCATCAAGTGATTTTGCAGTTTGGCATTTTATGGTCAGATTTCATTGTTTTAATTTCAAAAATGGATTTCTTAAAAAACTACTGGGTACAGTAGCATTGCTTCACTGATATTTTCCCTCTGTTGCACTTAGAACATTTGAGTTACAAACAGGTTAAAACAAAGAGAAAGCTGAGCAGGTTAGAAATGTCAATAAAAAATTAATAAAAAAAAACATTCATTTGTTTTATATAAACTCCAAGATTAAAATGGACACAATCATTGGCTTCTTTATATTTCAGTTACATGTACCAGTAATTTCAAGGGCGCTTGGATCTAGCAATATTAAAGATGAAAAATATCAAGCATGAGAGGTAGTGTTTCAACACCAGATGAAACACTGAGAAGAGAGTTGAAAATACGATGTGCAGCAGAGTGTTTCTGATGAACTTTGAGGGGTTCTTCATCTGGTGGTGAAATACTGTGTCGAATACTTAATATTACTTCTCAAACAAAAATGATTTTACCAGGAGAAATTAGGGATGCAAAAAAGAGCAGTTTTTCATCCATTTTCCAAACACTTATTAAACATTAATTTCCTTTGTATTTTCTTAATGAATTATTGATGAGTTTGAAAAGTTGAGACTAAACTCAACATTCAAATTTTATAAACCACACACTGAAATGTACAGTGAAGCTAAAAGGAAAAGCTATTAAGCAATTTTTCTTTTATTAGTCAAGCCAGCTTTTTCACTCAACTGCACCTTCAAAATTGCACCATGTCTTTGTCTTCCAGAGCAATTTAAAGAGGTCATAAGCTCTTTTTCAGCCAGTCAAATTAGCCGGCTGTTAACTCTTAGCAATATCCCTGCATACACACTGGATTACAACTCTTCAGCTGCTAGTTTAACAGCTAGTTAGTTCTAGATCTGATGCAGGAATATTTTGTTCAATGAAAATGTTACCTTTGTGGCAATGTAATATGCTTGACGAGGCACATCTTTAAGGGCCTGCAATATGGAACAAAAAATGCATAATACTCTAATAAGTGGGATTCTATGGTTAAAAAACTGATGATTCAAAGAATCACAATGATGTTTATTTTCTGTGTGACCCCGAAGTGGAAAAAAACTGTGACCAGTTTACACCATGTCACTATTAGCTGGAATGATTAGAATGATTTATAACATTACTTAATGAGCAACTTGTTTGGAATGTGTCCTCTTTATTTTTTTCAACATTTTTTCAAAAATTGTGGGAATAGTCACATCATGTTTCATACAAAATGAGTGGAAAATAATATCATCTAAATATTTACCTTTCCCAAGACAGTTTCAGCTTTACCATGCCCATACCAAGGAGCTACGTCAATATAGTTAATACCACTTTTTATTGCATGGTGAACAACTTTAATAGATTCCAGCTCATTCGTTTCTCGGAAAACACTTCCAAGTGATGACGCTCCTAACATGATAAATAAAATTATGAATCTCATTGAGTCGGTTACACTCAGAAAATTTCATTTAAATACATTGAACATACATGTACACTGTGATTCATGAATTACAGCTAGTGCAAAAAAGGAAGCAGAAGTCAATGTCCACATGTCAATGAAAAGTACAAATCCATTTTGCACCTGAGGTGAGGGGGGTACTTTAGGAATTTTTGGGAGGGGATGTGCCACTGGGACCCTGGAACCCTTAGCCTAACAGAACTATTTTAGTTCAAGTGAATTTTGCTATCCTATACTAGACTATACCTAAACTATCCTAGAGTAGCTATTATCCAGAAACTACTGGGGTCACTAGCACAATGCAGTCAAAACAAAACCAATTTGATATTTTTACATATTTTTGAGCGGCAATTCTCAAGACTAAAATCTTCAACCAACTAATCAGTTTCCAGGGAAATGATACCCTATTCTAGACCGAAACTCTATGATTTATATATCCTATCCCAGAGTAAACTGCTTGAAAACCATACCCTTCACAGCGGTCATACCTATACAGCCCAAATAAAAAACATAATTGTATGTATGTATGGCAGTACTCCCCCCTACCCCCCCCCCCCAATATTTGCACAACATGCATGCACAATAATACCAAAGTCTAGTGGGAATTTCTCCATCAGAGAAGACACAGCTACAGGCTTGTCATGCAGTGCTTCAACTTGCACACATTTTTCTTTTTTATCATGTCACTGTCAGCTTATCTCCATCATGACATTGAAGGGACGTTGCAACAAAAACAGATGATGTGGTGTGATGTGATCTGATGTGATGTGTGGGGAGGGGAAGGGAAGGGAGGCTTCTCTTACATCTACAGATTCCAAAAAATACCCTAACGGGCCGAAGTGAGAAGCTACATTGACAAACTTGTGAGCCCCCCTCCTCTCCCTATCAAGGTCGCTAGCCGCACAAGACGATGCTCAAAACTTGGAAGATCGCGAAGAACAGCTTTGAACAGGAGTTCATCAATTGATGGGCTCCTGCTTTGGATGAAGGGGAGGGAGGGCGTGAGTTTTAAATCTCACAGATGTGTGAATAGCTGCGATTTGAAGTGAGAAAGGCCGGTTTTTCGTCAAAGTGTCTCAACATTTTTGCATCTGGTTGAAGCTTTCACTTACCACCTTACCAAAACTCAACTTGGAAACATCCATTCCTGTTCGGCCCAGTGGCTGGTACTTCATCTTTTTCACGGCTTCTAAATCATGGAAACCCTCTACATAAGTGGCTGGAAGAGCACGCATTCTCAGGATTCCACTCTTTTCGAAAAAAATCAATAAAAAAGAGCTGATATATTTTAAAAAGAACAATGCATGGAGGTCATGAAGATGAGCCCTAAACCAGGTGGTGTGCGCACTACGATCGCGATGCATTGTGGAATCAAAATTTTCAAGATGGCGGCGAAGGTCGAGAAATTTCGCAGGTTATATGCTTTACTTTTCAATAGATACAGTTCTTTCCTTAGATCGTTTTTCTAGATTTCAT